TATGAAATTGAAGGTAATTTGAGGATTAAATTTTTTATGCTTTTTAAGCTCAAAAAAGTGGGGGTCGTACTATACATGATATCGTATTATACACAAATAAATACGGTACATTAGGGGAGAAAATATAAAACAGCAACTTAATTTTTCATTGATGCTGCAGGGTTTCTGTATAATTCTAATCTAATTAAGATGTATTATGATTTGTAGTCTTACTTAATGTTATGATTTTATTTTTATTTCAGATGCTTCAGCGGGGAATGGTATTCTCACCAAAGCTACCGTCCCCATCTATGCTACTGGAGTGCTGACATGTTATAACCAGGTAACTGAAGTCAAACACTGTTCAGCTGCATGTGTTCAGGTCAGACCATTTCAGCTTTTGATAACATTTAAGAATGCATTTTTTTTTTTTTGAAAAACACAGCATTAATAATTTCAGTGTAATGAAAGTAAATATTGTTACACTTYAGGGTTTTGTTCATTCCCATGAGGGAAAATCCATTTGAAGATAAGTTACTGTACCAAATATTTTGTTCTGATTTCTCAAAATAGTGCAGAACTCCTTAAACATAACAAAGATCAGAAATGTGTTTTGTGTCAACTTAAAATAAGTTTCGATAAAAAAGTTCTGCTCATTCTAATGTTTTTGTTAAACAGGATGAATTAACTTTTGTAGATAATAAAAAGATGAATGGATTTAATTTCTAGAGCCGAGTCTGCATGATGTAACTGACGTGAACAYGTTGTTATTTCTGTACAGGAGGAGGATCGCAAACTGCTGGTGGGTTTCCTGGAGGATGTTATGACGACACTGTCTCTGTCACATGCGCCTCTTGACAGCCTGAAGGCCTCCTTTGTAGAGCTGGGGTGAGGCATTAAAAAAAAGCATGCAATAATTTGATTTTGTTAGCTAATGGCAAAATACTCACATTAAGTATTTCAACCACACTGACAGTCACTTTTTGCATAGCTATGTTATGTTGTTGAAAGGCACCTCGCAGTTTGAATAAGTCAGGTGATTTTTATATATATTTTTGTCTGTTTTAGTGCGAACCCAGTGTATCATGAGCTGCTGCTCACTGTGCTGTGGTACGGAGTGGTCCACACGTCCGCTCTGGTCCGGTGTACAGCAGCGCGAATGTTTGAGGTACAAAACAGACATACACGTGCACGCTGATGGTGTATTACATAAATACAGTCGTGTTTCTTTGTTTAACATACTTATTTAGACATGAAAATAAATGAACATACCTCCTTTGTGGAGTGTTTTGTAAACTTTTTAATGTGTTAGAAAGGATTTTTAAGCTTAAACATTTTTATTGTAGAAATAGCAGTTTTAATATGTAAATATGTATGTATAGTTTTTTTTTAAGTAGCAGTATGTCTACAGCAGTGCTGTAGTTTTGTAAAATACCTGTACTATTTCATTTATTTGCTGCAAATGTGCCAGCTTTGCTTGCTTCTGCTGCTGCTGTTAAACCTGCATTTTAACATGAAGCTATTCTGTCTTTAAATTACAAGTAAAGACTGTCAGCACTCTGGTTCCAGCTGCACGGCTAAACCCTCCTAAAGCCAACATCAGACCTTTCACTGTGCACTATTCTTAGAAATAACCGCAGAAAAATCTGCCACGTCAGAGAAAAGCTAATGTCAGCAACCTGGAAGAGAAAGGACCTGCAGCTTTTCATCTTTATTGGACAGTTTAATCAAATCAGGTTTTCAGGATGTCGGATCACGGAAATATAAAACTGCTTTTATTTTAAGACTTTATTTGTCTTTGCACAATAATTAAATTGAGTGTGGCAATTGAAGCTAAAGTTCTGGCTGAAGCCGTCCGTGCACACCGCAGGTCGGATGTTAGGAGGAGGTTTTTAGCGGTGGCACCTGGCCCGTATTGATCTCTACCTGGGGGAAGAGGAGYAGCAGGCTGTTCTCACGTCCCTCCTGTTTTGTGATGTGCTTTTTCACAATGCCTCACTGTCWCCATTCCATAGTGAAGAATTGTTTGCCATATTTTTTTTTAACTGTACCACAAATGCCAGATCAAATTGGCTCATTCAAAACTGATTTCAAAATTTGGTTTGGTGAAATATTCTGATCTGGACTCTGTGAAATGGACACTTTGTGCTCACTTTATTGTGAAAGCGTGAAAGCTTTGCTGTTACCATCTGAGTGCACGTGTGCGTGTTTGTGTGCACATGTGTGAAGTTGTATGTAACACATGCTTGCTTTGATACATGTTGTGCCATTTTTTTGTGGCCTGCAGCTCTAGTTCTTGTCRTTGTATATCACTTTATTCCTGTCTTTTTGTGTTTGCCTTTCTTTTCCCCCCTTTTCCTATTTGTTTTTTTTTTATTATTATTTTTCTTTTGTCTTTTTGGCAATGTGTTCGCTCTTGTCCCAATGCCCCGCCCACCTATGTGACATCACGGCTGGCTCTGTCCAATCGGATCAGCTGCTGGTGAAGGGGGTGAATGAGACGCTGGTAGCTCAGAGAGTGGTTCCGGCTCTCATCACACTGTCCTCCGACCCTGAAATGTAAGTGGAACGACAACAACTGCAGCGGTAAAATCCCCCCCCGCTCCCCCGCCGCGCCGCGTCTCTGTCCCCCCTCTCTTTGCCGCCTGAGCACTATCACAACTAAAACAAGTGTGTACCTGTGAGGAGCGAAATCAATCAAATTCAGTCGTTTCTGACATGATTTAGTGTTTGATTAAAGCATTTATAAATTCAGATTACATCATTCTAATTGGATTTATGTAGTTCAGAGTGGCTCCTGTTTAGGTTTAGGCTGTGATGGGGTGTTTTTGTTTTGTTTTGTTTCGTTTTTTGTTTTTTATTTTTTTATTTTTTTGCACAACCACTGTTAACACTAACACTGTGCATGTCTGTGTCATCGACCTGCAACACTAACTCATGTCAGCTCTCATCGCCTCATTTGTCCACAACGCTAACCAGTCCTCTCCCAGATTGGTGCATGCACACCCCCCCACACACACACACACACACTTTAACAGCACTAACCCTGCATGCTCATCCGTTGCCCACCTTCCGTCCTCCTCCTCCTCCTCCCCCACAACCCTTCTTTTTGAAGCGCAGCCACTTTTTCAACTAGTGGTTATCTTTACCCATCTCTGTTTATCCTCTCTCTCTCTCTCT